CTGGACCACAAAACCCCGCGCCTAAGCCAACTACTGCTGCTGCCTCTGCTGCTGCTGCTACTACTACTACTACTACTACTCCTCCTACCATCACCAGCCACCACCTGAGCTCACCTGGTCCTGCCAGCGTCTGGAGGTGATGTTGCAGCGCCCGGCCTTCAAGCACAAGGAGAGCAAGGGCTTAGGGTTTATGTTTGCAGGCCCCGTTGAGTGTAGCATGAAAACGATAATACAGGGGCCTTAATAATTAGGGTTTTGGCGCCCAATATACTATAACAATTTTGATAAGGAAACCCCGCAACAGCATAGGCAAAAATTTAAGCCCCTACATTAGATCATAATTTCGGGCCTTTGAGTCTCGGGTTTGAGGTTCAAGGTCCTAGAATGTCGGGTTGAAGGTTGAGGGTCTGGGAGTTTCGGTCTTAATATAAGGGCCTTAATGATTAGAATAAGGTTCTGGAGCCCCTTATGCCTTATACTATAATAATGAACCCCCAAAGCAGTGTAGGTAATTATTCAGGCCTCTATACAATAGGGTGAGTTTTGGTTCAGCGTTTTGTTGTAGGGCTTATAGGGTTTATAGGGTAACGAAGTGTCATTGTAAGTACATAGAATTCAAGGTCAAAGATTTTGCGCTCAGGGATGTGTCACTGGCAGATAGCACCATGCTGTTTTCTGCTGACTTCTCACTCGCGGCAGATAGCACCATGCTGTTTTCTGCTGACTTCTCACTCGCGGCTATCTCGGCCAATCGCGTCCACCACCAAAGCTGGTTGCCCTAAACTAATCGGATCAATCCTTGATTCACCGCTCCTATGACCCTAAACCGCAAACATGTAGGATTTAGGGTGTAGGCTTTACGACGTTACGGTTTTAGATTTCAATTTCAAGAGTATCCGAGTTTAGAGCATCCGCATGGCTGCTACGTGAACGGACGGAGCTACGTGCAAATCACACGCCGCAATAATCAATGAAAGTTAAAATGCTGCATTGCGGGCCGTGGCCAGTCACTGTAGCATACATGGCTATGTAGGAGAAGCAAGAACGACTGATTTCTGTGGGATTTCTCGGGTTCCGCCTTTCAGTTCCTAGCATTGTGTTCCTGGCCGGCGAAAGCAGATGAGCTGAACCTGTGGGGAAGCTCTATGCCCCCAAAACGCGCATGTTGCGCCGCGGCCAAATGCCTGTGCGCCTTGGGCCCTCACTCACTGTGCTCCGTATGTTCTGGTGTCAAACCCCTTCCTGACGTGGCGACCACGGTTTGTGCGGCCGTGGTACTTGTGGTGAAACCACCTCGGCTATTGTTCAGGAACTTCATTCGATTTGTCATAACCATATTCTTTACTGAAGGTCCCATTATGGTAACTTGAATCAAAATCCTTGTCAAAACCCAGCAACCTCGGGATGCGAGGAACGCGCTTGTGGTAGTAGCTGCCATCTCCCGCATTGTCGGTCGGCTCGCTCATGCCGTTGTCGCACTGGACGGAGACCTGAGGCACGAAATGGAACCTGTAAGAGCTTGAGGTTTAATAGTTTAGGGTTTAGGGATTATCATAACAGGAGTTCATAGCATAAGCCCTAAACCCTAAACTGCAAGGATATATAGGGCTCCTACTTGTCAGTCCCAAGGTACTGCAAAGCTCTTCTGACTGGTGCTTCCCGCCACATCAGTTGCAGTGCACGTCACTTCCTAGGTGGGCCCATTGTTTACGGCTTAGGGTTCAGGGTTTAGGAGTCAGTGAATCAGTTTCGTAAAGCAGAATCCTCTTCGGCCCAACAATGAAGATGCAAAATGCCCTAAAGGCCTACCTAGCTGCTGTCTCGCCGACAGCGAACAGGAACCCGGATGAAGGACTGCAAGAAGTTGAAACACCTGTTTGGGGTTTAGTGTTTATAGGGTCTAGAGGCTTAGGGGTTTACGGGTCTGCAGGCTTAGGGGTCTGAGGGATCAGGTTTTAGGGGCTGCAAGACGTTGAACCACCTGGGCAGTTGTCATCCGCTGTAGGCGCGAACGTGACGGCAGTCGGGCTGCAGGACTGCACCTGGGATCTTGCTAAATGAGACGGCTGACGAAATAAACCCTACATTACCGTAATGACCCTAAGACTAAGGGCATTATGGCATTCCCCCCCTTCATAGTAAAAACACATTGGCGCGGATCCTCCCGAAATCACTCCTGCCTTTTAAAACCTAATTTGCATAGGGGGGTCCGGAGCAAGAGCAGGACAGAGAGAGCAAGAGCTGGAGTAATAGCACAAGCAAGAGTAAGAGCAAAAGCAGGAGGAAGACCAGGTGCAACAGCAAGAGCAAGCGCAGGAGCGAAAGAAAGAGACGCAGCAGGAGCAGGAGCAAGTGCCCTCAAAAGTGGCAGTAGAGATGAATACAGGATTACGCCATAATGGGGATCTAAAGTAAACAGCAGGGTTGTCCTCGCTACGGTAAATGAAACTTAGATCCTTTCGGGGCCTAAATAATTACCAATTCTATTTTGGGGGTTCCTTATGCGCCCCAAAACCCTATTCTAACTACTAAGGCCCCACATATTATAGAACTCTTATAGTACCCTTATCGACCCCTTTAAAGGAACCCTATTCCAGTTATTAAGGCCCCTATAGCACTTGACTTTAAACCCTCCTTAAAAAGGGCCGAAGTCTATGGTAGCTGAAACAGAACCCTTAAGGAACCCCTTAAAGGGACCCTATTTTCAACCCCTACAGAAACCTAGAAACGGGGCCCCTATCATACAACTCTATGGTACCCTTTAAAAGAGCTCCTTTCCTTTGCATGGACCCTGATACTCTAAACTCTTAACGAACCCTTACAGAAACCATACAAGACCCCCGTAAAGGAACCCTTCTAAAAACCCCAAACCCATTCCTTTGCAAGAACCCAGGCACGTCGATGTTGGGAAGCGTGCCGATACTTGGATCCTCGAGGTCATTGACCTGGACCTGGGCTCTTTTCGAAGGTTTTGGGCTTAGGGTTTAGGGTTTAGAGTCCAGGGTTTAGGGTCAGGGTTTGGGGTTTAGAACCCAAGGTTTAGAGTTACGGTTTGAGAGTAGCTTTAACAGAAAAGTCCTGCTCACATGGCTGCTTACATACATGGATACCTACATATAGTCCTTGCATGCATGCATGAAACAGATGCTACACTGCTACAGCCACTGGTACATTGGAAATGATTGTCGAGAACGGCCAAGGAACGACGAAAGATTCCGACGAGGCCTTGTTGCCAGAAGCATCCGTGGCGTTGCATGTCACTGTGGTGGTACCGACCGAGAACGTTGTGCCGGATTCTTGCGAACAAACTACTTGAACTCCTGGACAATTGTCGGCTGCATTGGCCACATAATCCACAATGGCTCCGCACTGTCCCTGGTCTGCTGTCACAGTCACATCATCCGGCACCGGATCGAAGACTGGAGGCTCCGTCTCATCGACATTGACGACAAAGCTTGTCGAGGCAGTGCTCCCACCAGCATCGGTGGCGGTGCACGTCACCGTGGTGGTACCGACCGAAAACGTTGAGCCCGATTCTGGCGAACAGGATACCTGCACTCCTGGACAGTCGTCTGTTGCGGTGGGCACAGTGAAATTCACAACGGCTCCGCACTGTCCTTGGTCTGTGCTCACGGACACGTCATTCGGCACCACATCGAAGACTGGAGGCACCGGATTCAGGTCCTGCACCCTAACACGAAGGGATGCTGATCCAGTGTTACCAGCAACATCGGTCGCCGTGCAGGTAACTGTGGTGTCACCGATAGGGAACGAAGAGCCAGATGGTGGCACGCAGGACCATGTGACATCGCCTGGACAGTTGTCGCGTACCTCGAGTACAGGATAAGTCCGAACGGCTGTGCATTCTCCAGGGGCTAGCCGAGCTCCGACGTCAACATCGCCTAGGATGATCTCAGGAGGCTCTGTGTCAGCACTGGGATCCGCAGGGCACGTAGCAACTCCTCCCTTTACAAGCGCTTTTGCTTGCAAGAGCGCCTGGTCGTCGGAAGTGCAGCTTGCATTCTCGAGGTGCTTCCCGGTCGAAGCACCCACCACAAAGGTCACCAAGGTGAGGGTTGCCACACAGCACGTCAGCGCTGTGCGCGTAAAGTTGCGGCCCTGCATGATGCACACGTGGGGAGGGAGAGGGGCGGTCAGGCACAGTCGAGCGCTAGAGTCGAGCCTTCGGCTTGGTCAAGTGGCATCTGGATGCATGCTGATTGACTTTTCAGCCTGTGACTGTAGATGCATGAAGACAACCCAGACGGTCCTAAGTACCCGCATACGAAGAGAAAGTAGTTCCCAACAACAGGAACAACTCTGACTTGTAAGTATACCCCAAAAGGAACCACGGATCCAGTGTAAGATGTGCCCTGCCACGCCTTGGTGGCTTCGTCGGCATGCACGGCATCCGAAAAAAGCCTCGTCTGCAAACGAAAAGCATTTCTTACTAGATTGCTCCGCGGGGGTTCATCAAGATGTCTGGTGGTGGTGGTGGTGGTGGTGGTGGTGGTGGTGGTGGTGGTGGTGGTGCTGCTGCCGCTGCTGCTGCTGTGCTGCTGCTGCTGCTGCTGCTGCTGCTGCTGGCGGTGGTGGTCTCGGTGGTCTTGGTGGTCCAGGTGGTCTTCGTGTTGATCTCGGCAATGCTCTTGGTGGTCTTGGTGGGGGTGACGGTAAGGTCGGTGGATGTTTTGATCCTGTGCTGCGACTCCTGTGGTTCCCCTGGCTCTTCGTATTCGTCGTCCCTCTAGTCTAATCCCCCACGCACCCGCTTAGGCTTAAGGTCGCATCCTGCCACTGACACTTGTGCCCCTCTTCGTTCCTAACGCTCTCTCACCAAGAGGGTCCAGATATACTACCATTATGGAGTAAGGGCCAGAACGCGGATGGCCTTTTGGGACCATGTAGTGTATATGGACCCTCTGTGTCATATATTTATTCCTCACTAAGCGGCATTCAGGGGCTAGTCAGGAGGGGGTCTAGGTAATGATCTATACGTCCTCATATCGCACTGCATAAGGCATATGCAATATGTAGGACCCACATGCACCCGATAACCCCAAACCCTCAGAAGCCAAAAGCTCTGAACAGATTGCCGAGCCTGAAACAACGGACCCTGAAACTAATTAATCCTAAGCCTTCAAAACGCTAAACTCCTAGGATAAAGACCTCTCTCACCACTCTCTTTTCGCTCTCGCAACTGGGGAGTGTTCGTACCAGAAAAGCGAACCTTCGGAAAAGGTGTTACAAATCTGCAGGCTTTACAAATCTTACAAATCTTTGCCACAGAGAAGGTCATATGCAGCACTGAAACATTTAATCGAAACTGCTTGAGTTGAGTTCGAAAACCTGCATGACTGCATGACCTTCATTGGGCCACGTGGACCTTCACCTGGTCCAGCCTGCTTCCCTTATCCACGTCCCCAAGAGTTGCGAAGCGATTACCGTTCCCGCAGGTAACGAGTATAAAAACGTTTGAGAGGAGCCTGGGAGACTTGAAACTGCATCTCTGCCAGCCTTGCTAAGCCGTCTTGGATGTACAGTTTAGCTGTACGCTCCGAGGACCAGCGACCGAGGAGTCTCACGGAATCCATGTTGGGGTGTTTCCGCCAATACATGGTAGCTCCCCCTCGTCGCAGACTGTAGGGACGAAAGCCCCAAGAAGAAACACGAAGCGCGTGCAGCGCGGCGTCGAACGATTTGCGAAAACAGTGTTCCGAGGTCGGCACCAGGTAACCCGAGGGCTTAGTCGCAGCCTTCCAGTGCCAAAGCTTCTTGCAAACCGGTGAAACTCTAAGAGTAACAGAGTCATGAGTTCCGGACCTTTGTGACGTTTTCGTAAGTCCCAAACTGATGACAGCGAAATCCAAATTAGGCGAGACGTCGATGTGACTGGCTTGGAGCTGCAAAAGCTCACCTGTTCGGAGGAGGCAGTAAAATGCTACCTCAAGAGCCAGAGCTACAACGGGTTGTCCCGAGAGAAGGAAAAAGCCGCAAAGACAGTGTAGCAAGTCTTCGGGCAGTGGTGGAGCCCTGTTAGGGACTTCTTTCTTCTGCCAAGTCTTGACTAAGCGCCACGAGAGTGACAAACTTCCGCGGAACTTTGGCCGAAGGTCCTGCAAGCCCGACAGCCCGTCCGTCGCTACCGAAAGACTTTCACCCTCCTCCCACAAATGTTCAATGAATTCAGCGAAAATTTCATCGACTCCATCCGCATCGTCAGGGATTCGGAGTCCTTGAGTCTGAGCGTAAAGATAAAAGGTTTTGAGGGCGGCCTCGTACCGTTGCTTGGTGCGAGAGGTAACCGTGTTTGATCGCAAACTCCCCAAACGCTGCCTTGCCACCTTTCGTTCCTGCTTTGTTTTGGCTACTACAGTTACTTTCCCCATTTCCGTCTGACGCGGATCCGCCGACTCGGTCGGTCGGCTGGGTTCGTGTGGGTGGAGACATACGCAAGGAACGGGTGGAGGCCTGTTGCCAAAAGCAGCGAGGAGATGCGATACATCAAAGATTGGATCTTGCGGGAGCTGGAGCGACCGCGTGAAAGAACATGCAAACAAACCATTGAGTCGGTAAGGTGGATGAAACGAGTTTTCAGTTCTTTTCGCCTAAGAACTCGCCATCTCAGGGCAGTGTATACTGCCCGAAGTTCAAATCGATTTATGTGATCTGTCTCTGCCGCAGGCCACGGCCATCCACATATGGTCCGCCATGACCACAGCTTCGAAGGAATCGTGGTGCGAAAACGTTGATGATCATGAAGGGTGGCACCCATCTGTATCAGGATGTCATTCCCTTTCCCAGAGAGCAAAGTGAGTAGTTTCGGAACCAGCCGGCTCCTTTCATTGCTTCCTTCTTCATTTCTGCTCATTCCGAGTTGGTGCCACGCCAGCAAGCTGTTTGAAAACATTGGCCGATCGCCAAAGAGGGTCAGAACGAGCTGATGCAAGGATTGGACAAGGCAGAGCTTGTGAGGCCGTAAGAGTTGCAACAACAAAAAGGCCACAACTACAACGGACCAAGCGTTGCCCAAAGCCGTCATGCGCAAATCATCCACCAAGGTGGGATTGCTTTTCGCCTCGGTTTTGGCCAAGACGTTCAACGTGTATCCGCAGGGGAAACCGAGACATCTTTCACGCTCGTCTGCGGAAGGGAGGCGGCTACCTTTGGCAGGATGCCAAATCAATTTTTCCGGCAAGTATTGGTATGGCGGAAAACGGTAACGATCAGCCTTCCATCTCTCAAGGGTGGCGTTATCGCACCTAGCAATCCCCGCTGGTTTCTCACGGGGTGCTTTGCTCGGGAGTGCCGCTGTAAAAGTGCTAAGGCACTCGCTTGCAGGATGAAGGGCCCAGCCAGGCTCCAGACATCCCACAAACGGAAACTTTCCATTGAAAGCAACAAAGCCATGCTGATCTGCTTTCCCTGATGTCGGGGGATAAAGCTCAACGCCTTCTTCATGCTCCAATGTCCAATCAAACCAGTACAAGCGATCTCGACGGCACGGAGAGATGACCGACGAACAAATCCGAAAGGGGATGACGTCTGCCGCACGAGTGCAAGCTTCTTTGTCTTGGAGGTTCATACTCGCGAGGTTCTCTCGAAGGCAATGAACTGGACACCAACTGAAAACACGCTTCACAAGCTCAAGCCAAGACTTCATTTCGAGATTGAGGGCATTTTGTGATCGACTTTGGGCTCCTTTTGAGCTTGTACCCTTCTCATCTGCCCCGCACTCCTGTGACCCAACACCCACGATCACCAACTTGGCCATTGAAGCCAAACCTGCCCACTTTAGAAGCATCTCTGGAGTGGCATCCTGAAGATGATCAATGAAAACAACATCGGAAAAATTTGTTTCCACGATCCTGCGTGCTGTAGCTTCTGCTTCAATGGATATGTGCAGGCATACGTTGGCCTGAAGAGCTTCCAAGGCGACCCTGACCGACGAGATACCATCACGCACTCCAATGAAAACGATTCCTCCATCAGGGCGCTCAAGAATCGTTTCTCCTCGGAAATAGCCTTGTCCCACCTGGCGGCCCAAAGCAGTCTCAGACTTAGAAGCGCAAACACCACCGCCCGTAAGCGAAGCATCACTCGCGGTGACCACATCCGAAGTGTTCAACCGAAAATCTATGTGGGCCAACGGTAGCAAGCAGATGAACATGCTCAACTCCGACATGACAGCTCCAGGAATCGGACGAACTCGCGCTCCAGGTTCTTCGAAGGACTGAATGAACGACCAAGTGAAGTTCAAGCACGACATGAGTGGACGCCTAAACATGGCGAAATACACCAAACCGCCTCCCACAATCTGAAGCTCCTTCTGTGAGCACCGGGCCCTCCTAAGTAAGGAGAGCGTGGCACTCACGTACTTCTGAAGCTTGTCCTTTTTGGGGCGGCACCAACCGGCAGAGCCTTGTACATCAGCACCTTGCACCTCCGCCTCTCTCTCTTGTTGGGCCGATTTTTTGGGGTTCAACGGGATCCCGCTGGCCTCGTAAGCAGCGATCAAAGGAGATACCTCCGAAGAGGGCTTGCCCTCAAGCAACATGGCCATGTCAGGCGAGGTCTTTTGAAGCACATCCAAGTTGTCCAAATACACACGCCAAACCGGGTTGCTCAACGGGAAGGTGCGATCCTTTCGAACTTCATTGAAAGGACCCAGCTGTTTTATGGGCCCCTGAGCCTTCTTCAGAAAGTTTCTGTGCAAATGCTGGGCTATCCCAACGGAATTCAAGTACCCCATCGGAACGACTTTCGCGGCCAGGTAACACTTTTCATTTGTGCCTGGGGGAACAAGATCCGGGGGCACCGGTTTGCCGAAACCGAGGAAAGGGTACCATGCGCATGGAAGTCGGAAGAGGTAGAAGAAACATCTGATATCCTCTGATGAAATCACCAACTCTTCTGAAGGATGAAGCTGTAGTGAACTCATCTGGTGAAGGAGGGGAAGTGTCCCGACATCACCTGAAACCGGCACACTGATAGAGTTCAGCGGGATGAGGTTCATGATCAGCCTGTGAATGGCGATACCTTCACAAACTTCTCCCTTTTCGACTCCAAACATCCCGTTGAGCAGAGGTTCTCCGCCAGGATGGCAAAGCGCTGACTCGGGTAGT